AGGAGACCGGGCCACGTTGCCTTTCTCTGCCAAGGTGTGACATGCTAATCCCATCGGTGTTTTGATCAGTGTGCGTGAGTGCCCTGAGGAATCCCGAAGGGATGTGCTGCTTGGTGACGAGTCCTTGCTTCTCTGTCCCCAGAATGCTGGACGACTTCTCCCATGAGTTAGACAGCACTCAGTCGCGGCTTGATAACGTCATGAAGAAGCTCGCCAAGGTGTCTCACATGACGAGCGGTAGGTCCTGGGAGGTGGGATCCAGTCCTGGAAAGGGGGAGACAAGCCTTTGGATTTTAGGGCTGGGATGCTACATGCTCCCACCCCCTGCCAGCCAGCCCAAACCTGAGCAGAGGAGAAGCAGCAGCTCTCGGTGCTTGAAAGAGAGGGAAGACTTCCAAGGCCTCCAGCTGCTCCTGCCCAGAGGCTGCTCTGCAGCCTGTCCTCTGCCTTTGTTTTATTTACAGATGCCTTTCTATTTGTGCTGCTGCTGCCGGGTGGGAAAATCCCCCTCTAGATGGTAGGAGGGGAAGCTCCGCAGCCTCCTGCTCTGCTGCAGTTTCCCGGGCTGCCTGCAGAGCAAAAGCTTTCAAGGTGCCCTAAAACACTCGCCATGGTGCGTGGCTTCCCCCCACTCCAGACTCTTGCCAGCAGCAAGCCCCTTCCCAAGTTCCGCCTGCCCTCAGGCTGCTGGCCCCTGCCAGCCCAGCCCGAAGGCCTGTTGTCTGTCTGACATAAATCTCAGCTGGAAAGAGGCGATTTCTGTGCCTGGGGGAGGCTGAGCCCATGAGAAAAGTCCTTATAAGGCTGTGCCTGAAGCCGCTGGGCTGGCAGGGTGCCACAGGCAGAGCAAACAGGAAGCCCAGCGGGCCTGCTGGGAAGTCCCCCCGCTGCCGGCTTGCCTCGCTGAGCGCTCGTGGTGCACCCAGTGGTCACCTCCTCCGTCACTCGTCTCCCATGGGTGCTAACGTAGGTTGTGGAGGCAGCAGCGAGTCAGGAGGAGAAGCGTTCCTGCTGGGAATTTATGGGGTTGTGGAAATACAGCCCTAGAGAGACCGTTCAGAGTGCTGACAGTGCACTTTGGGGCAGCACGGCTGCTGGCAAACCTTGCATATCTTCTTCTTCATCTGGGAAAACCACTTTGATCATTGCAGAGTGCTCCTGATAGTTGTGAAGGAGCATTTCTGCTATCCCTGGCATCACGCGTGCTGGGTGTTTTCCTGCTGTGCTCGGAGTTGAGGGGTGCAAGCAGCCCTGTCCCCACTGCTCCACCATCACCTGCACCACTGGGCAGAGAGCAGCTCCCAGAGGCGAGGCAGCATTTTGCTTCTGCAGAGCATGCACAGGGCCAGCGAGGTGTAAAGATGTCCAGGGGAAACGTCTGCTCCTGGCAGAGCTCTTTCAGGCAGCTTTCATCAGACCGCTTCTTGTTCCTTAGCAGACAGGTTACTCCACGAATGAGCAGCAACACGCAGCAGCTCTCTGCTTGTTCCTCCCGATTGCTTTTGAAGCAGCTTGTCAAATCTGTTTGAACTTGGCTGGGGAGAAGGCTCAAAACTCCCACAGCTGTCCCCAAAACCGGATATATCCTGGAGGAGACATGCTATCACCCCATGGGCTGCAGTGGGGCGTGCTGCCAAAGGAGCTGCTGCTTTGGCTTTTTATGGCTTCTTTGAGCTTAAATTGGACTCCTAGCAGTACAGCAAGGAAAACTTCTCCCCCAATTTTCCTTCCGTGTTAAAGCAGGAAGACTGACGCTTCCTTTTTCTCCTAGATCGACGGCAGTGGTGTGCAATTATTGTCCTCCTCATCATCTTGCTGGTGGTGCTCATCCTGCTTTTCGTCGCGTGATGGACTGAGCTTCCTCGGACGCCCCCTCCCCACCCCATTGCCCCCGTAGCACGGGGAAATGAAACTCTCACCGTTTCCGTCCGCCCACAGAGATCCCAGCAAGAAAACCTGCACCCAGCTCTCACCGTTCTCCTCTGAGGACCACAGCTTGGCTCTGCCGGTGTCTCACCTGGCCCCGGGCAGAGGGGGTGGAGGACTGGAGCTGCCTCCTCCCCCAGCGTGGTGCCATCTGGACCTGGGATCCAGGTCTGGACCTAGGCAGCTGGAGGGGGCCTTGACCCCTGCACTTCCACCCTGTGCAGGTAGGAGCTGGTTGCGGCAGTCCCAAGCTGCCTGCGATCGGAAACGGACACAGAGCAGCGAGCCCTGGGGAGGATGGGACTGGGGGGAGGATTTAATTAATTCACTGAGCATTACAAACCACATCGCCAGGCGGCGGGTGCTTGCCAGCCTAAAGCATTACTGGGAGGAGTGGTGGCGGTGAAACCCTGTGCACCCACGGCGAGGGAGGGGAGCCCC